ACCAAAGCTATTAGAGCACTAAACCAATTGTAGTCTTATTTCTACTACGTATACTGTAAAATGAAGTACCTTTTTTTGTTTTTGTTTTTTAAGAGTGATGTTCAACAAACCACAGCATTCAATCTGTCCTTACTCAAGAAACTGAACATGCTGTTAAATCAGCTACAAATTTGAGACAACAGATTTGTGAAAATTACAAGGTTAATCTCATTAAAATGAAGTATATTTAAGAAACAGATGTGGAAAGGCACTACACTGACAGGACTATCTGCAGCTACTGTTTATTTATTTTTAATAATTTCCAGACTCATAAGAATTCAAGAGAAGCATAAATAACATAGCTTCACCACCACGAGATGCTACAGAGAGACAAAATACATTGGTCAAGGATTATGATTACAAGAGAAATTGAAAAGAAAAAAAAACTAAGTATTGAGACCAATTAATAAGCATCCATTTATTTAAAAGTTAAAACTTGATTGTTAATGGAAAACAATTAATTGGCAGGTACTGATGCTTAGCAGAACTGAGGAGAGGTGAACTTCTCATTCTTCTCACCTCTGTTATGCACTGTGCTGCCCTCTCACAGCAGTGCACTTTGAAGTCTGCAGGAGACCTATATGCCTCAGCAAAGAACCCGTAGAAGAATACGACTGAGATGGATTCCCCCCCAACCACATTTAACTATGCAAATGTAACTTCTGTTAGCAATAGAGAATTTGCAGGAGCCAAGAGGACCTTCTAACAAGGAGCTCCAGAAACCCGTGTGTCACTGGCTAAGCAAATGCAGCCATGCCAGGCACGTGCCGAGCATCAGATAAATGAACATCTTGCAATCCTATCACATCAGATACTGTCTCCTAACCACACTAAAGGCAAATTATTTATTGTTCCCAACACAATTTTTCTGCGAAGTTCAAGTCGCCAAAATAAGTGTTAGGTGAAAGGCCTATACTGTTTCCTTTTCAGAATGCAAGCAAACAGAAGAGCCGCTAAAACAACAATGGATTACAGTAGTCTTACAAAAGAGATCCTTGAGACAGTATTAGTACTTCTAGAGTGTATTTGTTCATAGAAGTCTTGCAGTCTGTACATTCTTAAACTCTACACTGACCCAGTCAGCTTCTCTTCTGAGTCTTCAGTGAAATCAGAAGAGACTCAGATCTTTCTTCACCTAATTGTGGTCTGGCTTATGCTGTAACCTCACTACAAGGAAAATCCACACCCCTCCTTTAGCTCACAATATAGTACTTGCCTCTACCCCACTTTTTCATTTTTCTGGCAACCAAACCTAAAATTCTTCATATCAAACCTAAAATTCAGGCACTCGTTGCAAAGCTTTTTATAATTAACACCAACAGCTCTCAGAGTGCCTTGAAACATATGGCAATTAACCAAGAGTGCTATTAACTTATAACAGTCTTCTGAAATCATTTTAAGGATTTTCTAAAAAAGCGTTTCTTCTCCCTCTCAGATAAAAATGCAAAGACGACACATTGCATACGTGTTGCTTTTGACACCTGACATATAAGGCACAAAGGGAAGAGAAGTGGGTGGTTAATTTATTCTCCCCAAAATCAAACACTACAACAAACAGATTTCCACTAGCACCATACAGTTAATTTTCTCGGGGACAAAAGTATACGTATTATTCAGTTCCCCTTGGAATTTTGCATCCAGAACAATGAAAATAATAATAATATTAATTTAAGGCTTGAATGGAAGAAATCTCCAAAGCATTTAATCCATTTGCTTACATTCATTCCACGCTTAGATGTCACAATCCATAATTCCTAAAACCCAAGTGCAACTTCGAGGCTATTCTGCATATCCATTAGAAGTCCAAGGGGCTGCAGCATAATCTGCTTAATTAATGAATTCCATCAGCTGAATGCCAAGTCAAATAAAGAACAGATTGAGTATGAGCAGCATACTTATCTAAAACTAATGTCCAGAAAGCTTAAACAAGCCAGACTTTTAATCAGACATCTCAACTTAATTACACAGCATAAAGAAACCTTCAGTTCAAAGGTAGCAATTATATACCTTGTAATACTCTCTAAATAGGTACATTTGCAATCAAGTAGAAAATTTACATCATAAAGGAGTATAAGCCTGAAAGCCAAACACAGCAAATAGATTCCTGATGTTAAAATAATAAATATTCCATTTGAAACAATGATAGAAACATTAACAATTCTAGCTTTATCCAGAAATGTCAGCTGTAACATATTGGGTCACAACAGTACGGAGCCAACTCCTTTAATCTGCTGCCCTTCTGAAGTCAGCCAGAAGATCCATAAGCTTTGTACTCAAGAAACCAATTGTTGTTACTCTTCATTCATGCGGTGATGAATGCTGGTGGATATATCACTTGTAAACTGATGTTCTAATGCTTCATAAATTGGTAACAGCCAGGGGTATCTAAACTATTGGCCTCACATCCTGAATTTATGCCCTCTTAACTACATGACTTGGTCACTCTGTTGGCAGTGTCAGAAGATGCACTGCTTCCTTGCTTTTTATGGGTAGTTATCCCGATTTCACAGCCTTCGCATTGTATTCTTTGCCTGAAACTGTAGAAATAGATACAAAAGCTTTTCTAACAAATACAGAATTGAGGTATCACGCGGCACTGTAATACTGAGAAATACAGCAACTCATCCAATATTGTCACTTGCACTTAACATCTTTGCAACAGAGATTTCTCACATTCTAACGTGATATATTGAGTAAGCTCAGAGTATCAGATCTGGAAGGACTCCAGCAGGAATCTGTATCACATTCCTTTACTTGGTATATTATTCTGAATATAATCTCACCTCTTCAAGGGTGGTTAAAAATGTTATCACAGTTATCAGCAAAATGTTCCTCTTTCCATCTTGTTAAAGAAATTAAATGGCTACACTAAGGCAGAGATATCTCAAGTTCGGTGTCTTGTCTTCAGTCTATTTTGCATACCAAATATAAGACAAATAGTTAGCTTGCAGCAGGTGCAGAACACTGTTAGGATTGGATACCTCTCAAATAATTGAAACTTCTCTTGGGAAATGTTAGAGAACACCAGGGAATGCCATTACATAACAGAACACCTTTGTGGAAACTCCAGTATGAATACAGAAGAAATCAACATGAAAGCAGATGAAAGGCTTTTTTCAAAAAAAAATTGCACTGTGTAAAATGTCCCATGCCAGTGGAACATTTATAAGTTTTTCAATAGAGTTCAAGAAGATTGGGCCCTGGGCAGCCTGGTCTAGTATGAAACGGGGAGGTTGGAGGCCCTGCATGTGGCAGGGGGGTTGGAGATTCAGGATCCTTGAGGTCCCTTCCAAACCTGGCCATTCTGTGTGTGTGTGATTGTGTGTGTGAAGATATTTAGGTTTGCGTTCACTATAGGCACTGCAAAATAAATGCAGTACCCTTTCAAATATTGAGTATTTGGTTTTTCTCAATTTTTTATTTTGATACATGCATCTAGCAGCTAAGAAAAGGATACATACATACAATCTAAGCATAGTGAAATTAGAAACTACTTGTCTTCTAAATTCCAGTGCCACGTTCCCTACAAAAAAAGCAGGTTCATCTATTTTTCCATCTCATTCTACTCTTTTAAATAAAAGTATCCTTATGCATATATATATATGCAAATATATATATGGAATATTGTATATGATTAAAAATGAACAAAGCCTATTAACATTTTTTTTTCTTAAAACAAGCCCAGATCTTCAAAAGACTTAAATTATTATACTTTCATGTATGTGCACAGATGGGCTAAAACTGCTCATGCTTTCAAACTTTCGTAGGGTCACCCACTGTAATAACTACAGTTTGGACAAAGATACAGTTATTTTGCAATTACTTGTGCCAGCATAACATTAGCACACAGGCTGCAGTTGAAGACAACACTGCAAGTCTTGCAAATTTCAGGACATTGATCACAAGGGCAATTTTTTTTTTTTTTTTTTTTTTTTATCTTTACCTTTATAAAGATAAAAATCATAAATACTCCTGATCACAGCAAGCTACTAAAATTCTAAGGAACTTGGCTCATGAATCTATCAAAATAAGAAACATACATTTGGTGTATCTGATACTCAGAAATGCATTTTCAGCATGCCATTATATTTCCAGTATGACAAATAGAGCCACTCCTGAATAATCCTACACCAGAAAAGCAAGAATGTTATTTCTTTATGGAAAGACATTGCAGACTATTCTGGAAAAAAGGTATTTCGGTATATCAGCACCACTTTGTAGACTGGTGGATCAAGAAGCCTGTTAAGCCTTTTCCCTTTGTAAAGCATACACGTACACAAAGCAGATGCAACTCCCAGGTCACTGAAATCACCCACATTTAAATGACAGACAAATATCTGACAGTTTTCAACAGTGAGTGGTAACTACAGTACATGTTGTTTTCAAATAGCAAATAGCATTCTTTCTTTAGCTTGTATTTTAATAATTTAATGTATAACACTCCTCCACCACCCCGAGAAGTTTGAGGCAGATCATTAATTTCAGGGAAATCTCTGATAAATTGTATCATTTCACTTTTCAGAAAACACAATCATCAGTTTTCCTGCGGTAGTGACAGAGACTTATTTGTGCTCACACAAAGAAAACATGGCTAACTGAAAGAGAATTGATTCTCAAACACTGCACCTACATTTTGAACTTACCAAGAAGTTTACCTAAAGAAACATAACTGAGTAATTAAATAGCTTTTGCTTTTCTTTCTTTTTTTTTTTTTTTTTTTAATAGAAACATACAGAATTTATTCTGGTCTGAACACGTAACAGTTAACAGCTCCTGTTTCACAGGATATGCTGTACACCATTCAAATAGCTTTTTTTCTCCCATCTCCTTCAATCACTATAATACAACAACATCAGGAGCTACACCATACTTTAAGCTGCATAAATTGTTTCCTGAAGAGGAACAAAATAATTATAAAGCAAAACATGCATGTAGTAACAGCAAAAGCAGAAAAATTTTACCTGTTAGGCAGCAACGTACAGTCAATATCAGGTCTTTTTGTTTTGGGAATGGCATATAGTGGATATCTGTCTCCATGTCGAATCAACACCTGAACTGACACTAGCTTAAAATAATGGGGTGCATAGCCTATAATGAAAAAAAGAAAACATAAAAAGTGAATGTGAAGAAAAAAGTGCAATGGAAAAAGTACATCCAAAGTTCAACAGCCATATATGACATTGTTCAAGCACTGGTCTCTGCCAACACAGAAACATAACTCCACCTACATCATGCCTCTTCCAGACCCCTATTTTAACAAGCATCATGCAGCATGCTTAATTCAGAGTTTATTGATATATTAGCTTGTGATTTTACATTTGTTAATGGGATACGTACATCGGAGAGTTAATTCAAACTAACTGCTGCAGCTGCTACAAGGTACATGTGTCTTCCAGTTCACTTGTAATAAACAGCATAAAATATTAATTATCTCTAAAGACTCCCACTCTTTTAATTAAGGAATTCCAATTGAGCACTGAGTGATATCAGAACCACTTCCAAAAGTGAAGAAATCAAAGAAAATACAAAAGAGAGAAGAACAGTGCATTTTGAACAGTTTAACAGAATTCAGCAACCAGTTGACATTTGCTGTACCTTGCTCCAAGCAATAAAGAACCAGCAATGCACAAAGTCATTATTTCCACTAAATCACCATTTGCAAGCATCAAGGTTACCTTCCATGCTGCGTTCAGCAATGGTAGGAATATTGCAGTAAACCTGAGCTTCGTAAACAGGATCTATTGCAGGAGGTTCTGTCAGCAAATCAGGCATTATTCTCTTTCGGCTCTTAGGATTCAACCCATCTTCCTTGATAGGGTTCACTGGGATTAAATGCACTGAAAGACACAAAACATGCACAGTATACCTTTAGGAGAATTTAATGACATACCTAACTAAGCCTTAAAAAATATATAAAGAGAAAGCTGATTTTCGTTGTAAATTTTTCACATTTTTCCAGAGTCAAGAAGACAAGTCCAGAATTTAGCGACTTCAGTGGTTGGCTAAGACCACAGAAATCCATCTCAATGAAGACCAACTTTGCTTTTTGCACTCTTGAAGCTGGCTTATTTTGTCAGTCTTCCAAGAAGCACTAAGAGCATGAACTGGAAAGAAAAGATCCATTACAGGTCCAGCCGTCCCTCATCACTCTGACATAAAAACTTATGCTGAAGGACATCAGGCAAAAGACAGCGCATTTCTGATGATATGACAAACCATTTGGTAAACAGAGAAATGGAGATTCTATGACTGAGACTGAAGAAACTGGACTGTTCATCATTTTCCTCACAATTTCTTCCCCCCTACCTGGCTACATTGCCAGTCTTAAATAATCTGATTTACTTAAAGAAAATATATACAAAATACATTTAGTAAAATGCAACTGTGATAGTTATGACAAAAAAAAGAATTAGAAAGAAATGCAGATTATGCACTTCAGACATGTAGAAGCACGCCTCTATAAGGTCTGAATTTCAGGCCAGAGTTTCACTGACAAAGCCTTTTTGGGTTGTTCTGATGTGAAAGCACTAGAGAATTTACAAGCTTTTCAAGACTACACTTGTAATAACAAATGTTCTTCCCCTCCACTCCCTCCCACCAGCTTTTTCTAGTATTTGAAGAGGATCAGATTTGGAGGTGAAAACCAGGAAGAAAACTGCTAGTATTTTTGCTACAATTTATCTTTGTGGGAAAGGGGAAAATGGGAAGGGAGAAGTAGAAGAAAACATAAGAAACAATTCAGAGCACCTTGACTGCCAGACCTAATTTTACAGGTGAATTTATTCTACAATATAGAGTTGTTTACATAAAAAAAACATTGAAACACACACAAATTCTAAGAACACACAGCTGTTAATGTAGCACAGACTCCTCATTCTTACGCTACGTGCTACTTTAGACGTTTTATTGTAATCTCTCCTTGCACGTCAAAACCAGAATTCAAGCATTTTCCACGGCCTAGCTAGTGTTGTTGACAAAGCTAATATCCACAAGGCACAGTGACGTCAATCCTTTCCTTCAGCTGTTTCACATTCTGCATAATTGCCCACAGGACTGGTCTTGGTGAGAACATTAAACTATAATTTTGACTTTGGCCCTTTAAGCTGCAGGGCTCAGCTGCAATTCCAACATCCATTTTTTAATTTATCTTCGGAAAAAAAAAAAAAATTAGCTCCTTCTATGCTAGGACTGTTGTATGTTAATGGAAGACATTGCAAACCACTGATGAAATAAACCATTAGTAACTCAGAGCCTTGGTGGTATTTGTTAGAGGTTGATGACTGTGTTTTAAAGGGTACTTGCAGCAAATTTGTGTTTGGAATATAAATCCCAAACCTATGAAAGCATTACAGGAGCTGCTGCCCTCTGCAAATAAACAGCATTACAATAGATGGCCTAAAGAGTATAAATGGGAAATTACAGTAGTTATGTTATATTGATCAAGTTTTCTATGTAGAAAACATTAGGAGCAAGAGCTTTCTGCTTTGTGTTAACAATTTTCTCTATAGCAACCCACAACACTGCTACTGCTTGTTTAACATCATGAAAATGTAGAGCTGGCTTTAGTATTCATGGATTTATTACAGCTGAGCATCAGTGTTTTGGATGACAGGAAAAAAACATACATCAATAGCGAGAGCTCAGAACTCTTATGTTAAAATTTGGTTAGGAGATTCAAAAGCAAAATAAGGAGCCTAATTTTTGATCCAACGCAAACACAACAGATCACATCTTTGCATTGATGTTACTAGCTATGACACAGATGTCCATATTTTCTCCTTGAGATCAACTGCCCAGTGTTCATGAGATTAAACATTTAATTTACAGACAGCAAAGTCTCATTTCTCATCTACCTAGTCAAAGTACTTTAACACTACCAAAAAATTTAAGAACAGGAAGCACTTAATCTTGCAGAAAAGAAACTACTAAAAATATTACAAGTTAAATTACAAGTAAAAATTGCACATCCAGGAATATGACAATATGTTTAGTTTACAAAACCCACTGACAACACACTGTAAAAGGACTCTATTAAGTCACCGCAGCAGTTATGGGTGCAAAATAATACTTGTGGACCAGAAACTGAATCACAGATTAGGAAGAATAATACTTAACATAGTTCAAAAAGTTGATAAAAACTGCCCTAAATTTCTAAATGCTGCTGCTAACAATAATTATTGATTACTTCATAATAGCTGGTAAGTATTACCCTCATAGTTTAGTGAATAAGCTTGGATTATACCAGGGAGAAAGAAAGGAAAGAAATTCTAACCGAAACTGCGACCAGCTTGTCCTCTTCCAAGTACATCAGAGAGGGCTGGAGCTCAAGCTTCTAAATTTGAATTTAACTGTGGCACAACCATATTATCTTCATTTCTGAAGGTATTCGTCTTAAATGACTCAAATTGTTTACAGGTTTCATCATCAAGAAGATCAAAAAGTTCTAGACACCTAAACTGCATACAGTATTTACTTTCAACACAGGGGGAATAATGCATATCAGAAGAAATTAACAAAACCATCTATAGATATCTGGGTCTTCTATTTAACTATGTTAAACTGCAACAATATATATATTGTTATATATATATATTCTTATATATGTATATCTTATATATATATATATATATAAGATCTGGATACCAGTTCATCCAGTCCACTGGAAATCTCAAAAGAAAAAAATATATGTATATATATAATTATTTCAGAAGGCAGGAAAAACTAGACTATAGACAGATGAATTCCAGCCGGAAAGACGCTTTGTATCTGCTCAGCTTCAACACTGTGATTCAAGGAGCCCACCCAGTAAGACTTGTTCCTCCTGTTGCACTGGAAGCTCAGTTTGTGCTTTCATTCTGGTAGCACTTGCATCACATAGAGCAGCTACTCAAAGCTCTCTGAAGATCAGACGGTCTCCCTGTACTTTTCTGCTGCATCAATCTCACCTCTGTCTCCCAACAGGGGTTTTTGGTCCATATGTAACAACACGTCTACACATCCATAAGTAATATTGGACTGACACAGCTCAGAGTAGAAAAAAATACCACTCGTATGGAATTGAATATTATCTTGTTCCAAGCTCTGTTCTTCCAGCTGTAAATCATTATAAGATCAGAATTCGATTATGCCTTTTTCATATGGCTTTGTATAGCTTAGTGCTATTTTATGTGACTTGTTCTATTGGTTCAATATGTACTTCCTCAAAGCAGAAGTCTGACAACGCAAATATAATCATACTTAAGTCTTCGATTAAAACAGCTTTTGAACAAGATCTCTACACTGCTGTACCTTTCAAAAGTCATGCTTTACAATAGGAATATAACAATGTAAAACAGACTAAACACATGCGGTTTGATCTACATGCTTCTCCCACACCTCCAGCAGTTCATGAAATAGATTTGAAAGACAGTTAATTATCTATCTGGAAACTTCACCAACACTGAAGCTATAAAGAATATGTACATATTATGGAGATAGTTTGACCAAAAAAAGGGGGAAAAAAACAAGAAGAAAAAAAGGAAAACATAGTTTATTTCCCTACCTTTATGATCTTATTTTTAACAAAACCTAAAGACTCTACATAAAAAAGAGTTGGAAATATTCATTTTGAAAAAGCTATATCTAAGAGAGAAATTAAAAGGCTTGCAGAAACAATAAAATGGAAGCAACCTCAATGCAACTCTGGTGTGCCAAATTAAAATTGTTTAAAGCATGAAATAAACTGAACACACAGACTGGTATCAGACAGAAGTAAGCCTTGATAGGACAAAATGCAGTCCTGTGAGAGACAGACACGCACTACTCGTGTGGTAGGACAGCCAGCTACTGCTGTACACTCACTCCTTCAGGAATTTTTACAACCCCAAATTCAAACAGCATTTCCTTTTTCAAAGTCAAAAACAAGAGGAAATAAACACAAAGTCAGTGGTGCTATCAAGCTTTTATATAAATTGCTCTTTTCCACCCTATTAATCAATTAAAAATGGGCAGTTGAATTAAAGAGAATATGTTGAGTTATTTATTTCAAAACAAACAACTTACCCCATAGAACGTGAAAACACAATTTTAAAGATAAATGCTTGACTAAGAAATGTCTTTGTGAACCAAGCCAGTGGTGTCTCAACTATTACAACATAGAAACTGTAAGCACAACTTCTTTAAAGAGTAAGCAGCTCATTAGTCTGATAACCACCCAATTCCTGCACACTAGAAAATACACCAAAATAAGATCAATATTAGAAAAGTTGTTTCTAAGTAAGAAGGAGAATCACTCAAAGGTAATTTCAGTGTAATGATCGTAACTCCTACATAGCAATCAGTCCTTCTGAAAAACGTCAAGTTTATCAAATCAACTATTGTATTCACACTTCCAAGCAGGAAGCCAGTCTGACACAAATTAGACTAGCAAGCTGACATCAATTTAACAGAATTTAGTACAGCAGAAAACTGAACATAAAGAGCAGCTCATGTAGAAGAAACACTAAATTAAATTCATTACCAATTTCTCTCCCTCCTGCAGTACTAGTTAAACCATGGAAGAAACAAGGTATCACCACTGTTTATCCAAAAGAAACTTATCCATGAGAAGGAAAAAAACTCTAACATTTACCAAAATACAGCAAGATAGGCAATAAAATCATTCTCCGCTTCTGTTCCCCTTTGTAACTCCAGCCTGTCTGAGAAGCAGCACAAGTAGCCATGTTAGCTTCAAGTAAGCAACTAACCAGGAACCTGAGGTTTTCATCTGTCGTAAGACAGAAGGTTCTTTCAGGTCCATGCAAGCAGGCTATTTAAAACAGTCACATGAAAATGAAGCCACACAGCAGAAATGCAAAAA